ACCCCAACTGTTTCTAGGTACATAGATAACGTTCTAGAGGGGCACTTATGATACAGTGATTAAAGCACTTGGCTGCTAATTTAAAAGGCATGAGAGCTAACCTCTGGCTGCTTCATGGGAAAAGGTAATCTCTACTTCTAAAAACATTCCCAGGCTTGGAAACCATATGTGGCTGTTTCACGCTGCTCCATAGGGTCACTATGGGCAGGACTCAACTCAACAGCAGCGGATTTAGTCTTGGTCAGGTATTGCTGTTGTTAGGTGCCGTCGAATCGAGTACAACCTACAGTGATCCTTTGAACAACAGATCTGAACCCTGTCCTATCCTGTGCCGTCCTCACACTTCCTGGTACACGGGAGCCCATTGAGGCAGTCACTGTGTCAATCTACCTGGTTGAGGGTCTTCCTCTCCTTCACTGACCCTCTGCTTTTCCAAACACCATGTCCCTCTCCAAGGGATAGCCCCTCCTAGCAACATGCCCAAAGGATGTGAGGCAAAGCTTTATTATTCTTGCCTCCACAGAGCAGTCTGGCTACACCCTCTCCAAAACATAAAACATATTTGTTCTTTTGTCCGTCCATGGATGTTCAGTGCTCTTCTCCAGCGCCACAGCTCAAAGGCATCAGTGCTTCTTCTGTCATCTTTATTCATTGTCCAGCTCTCAGATGCATAGCAAGTGACTCAAAGACCAATCAGCACAGTTACATAATTGTGGACATACAGACATATCTTTCACGGAGTCATCATATGTTGGAAATGCCTTGAGACAGCAGCTAACAATAATAACATGAGGAAAACATCTTCAAGCACTCCTTGAGTGTCAAGAGGGAAGAGAGGGCTGGTGGGAGCAGAGCTTGAGGAGATTCAGAAGGGAAGCAGGCATCGGCAGAGAAGACTGGAAGACTGGAGCTGACACCACCTCCCCAGGCTGCTACAGCCCCAAGTCATAAAACCAGAGAGGCTATAGCACACTTGGAAGAAAACCCAGAAACAGTCAAATAAAGAGAAAGAGAAGCTACTCCAGGGGTGTTTCATCTGAGACAAAACAAAGCCCTGGAGGAGCACCCCACAGTGCTTCCCCCGAAGGAATGAGAGCTGAGTGGGAATTCACAGGCAGGAGCCTCCACAACCATCTCAGGAATGCGCCTTAAGTCATGGGCTGGGACTTTAGCCTGCCGCCTTTATTGTTTCATATCGGAAAATGTAAAATCTTTACAGGGGGCTTTTGGGAGCCAGTCCAGCTGCATCCCAGGCCCAACACTCTCAAGAATTCCTCAACCGCCAATTCTCTTCCATAGGGTTCAGGACCCTCATGTTCACAGGGGGAAGGAAACATCTAAACTTGACCTTGAGAGGGGGAGACAATTTCATCTTGCTCAGATCCACAATCAACACTCTTGGTCCCAGCAGTCAGGAAGCCAAAAGATGAGTTGCACTGGGGAAAATCTGCTGTCAAGGACCTCTCTAGAGAGCAACGATGTCAGTCTAGAGACTAAGGTGCACCTGATCCCAGGCATGGTCTTCTCAGTTATTTGCTATGCATCTGAGAGCTTGGGCAATGACTAAGGATGACAGAAGAAGGATGGATGCCTTTGAATTGTGGTGCTGGAGAAAAGTATTGAATATACCATGAACTGCCAAGAGAACAAATAGGTCTGTTCTGGAGAGGGTGGAAGCAGGTTGCTCCTTGGAGTCAAGGATTTAGAAACTCTGTCTCACATACTTTGGGCATGTTGCCAAGAGGGCCCAATCCTTGGAGAAGAACTTGGAAGAGCTTGGAAGGGTAGTGGGTTAACACAAGAGAGGAAGACCCTGGAGGAGGGGGATTGACACAGTGACTGCGGCAACGGGTCAAGTATGTCAGAGATGGTGAGGTTGGCTCAGGACTGGGCAGAGTTCAGAGCCATTGTTTGTAGGATCACTATGAGCCAGAGTTGACCTGACTGCGCATAACAACAAGGACTATCATCTGACACCCTAGGAGAGTCTTGCCTAGTTCGAATTACCATTTAATTAGGACTCAGGTTCTACAAAGCTGGATGGAAATCTATATAAAACCAGTAAGACACAAATGATTTTTGTTCATTTGGTATAGAAAGGATTGAGAGAGTAGAAGTAATAAGTTGCTTGCTTGTACTGACCTATTGTGGTGGCAAGACTCATAATGACCCTATGAACAAAAGACCTGAAGCCTTTCTATAACTGTCATTGTTTCTTAAAGTTTATAGAGTTTCCAGAGGCATGTTGTTTAGGAAGCAGATGCCACTCCTGCTCCCAAACATATCTTAAACTGGGAGCTCCAAACACTGACCACCATGGGTAACCATTATGGCATACGGCATCCCAATGGCATAGAGTTCAGCATCACAGCCACTCCAGGTTACCAACGTACAGTACAGCAAACTGACAGACCAGTGCCGCACTACTGAGAAGAAAATTCCTTTAAATTATAATTACACTAGGACTCAGGGCTCAGGCCCAAGGACCTAAACGACTTTTAAATACAAAGGCCCCCCCAGGAAGTGGTGTTGACTCTAAACAAGAGGCTTAAATCAAAAACAATAAATCATTCCACAAGAAACTCAACCAAAAGAAGAGAGCCCACTTTTCAGAGTAGAACAGCTTCCCTAGTCTCCTTTTCATCTGTTGTTGTTGTTGCTAAGTTCTGTAGAGTCGACTATGACTCAGATACCCTATGAACAAAAGACCTGAACCTACTGTCCTGTAGGATCTAATTTAGTATCTATAACATATACATTTTTCAAGTCTTTTCAATTGCCTCATATGCATGTGAAAGGTGGCCAGTCAAAAAACTGACGCCTTTGTAATGTAGTATTGGGGAAGGATAGTGAAAATACCATGGAAGGACAGAGAACACTTCAATCTATGCTGGAAGAAAGTTAGGGTGCTTCTTGGAAGCAAAGATGGTGGGACTTCATCTCATATACTTTGGGAATGTTGTCAGGAGAGACCAGATCTTAGAAAAGGACAGCATGCTTGGACAGGTGGAGGGGCAGCGGCAGAGAGGAGGACCCTCAACAAGGTGGCTTGACACAGTAACTGCAGCAATGGCCTGAGCACAGCAGAGTTGGGCAAGGTTTTGATCAAGGTCACGGCATTGCAATGAATTAGAGTGGACTCAGTGAGACCCAACAATCTATAGCCACCCATGTCTGTTATCTCTAGCTTGTCTGTCTATCTATCTATCTATCTATCTATCTATCTATCTATCTATCCATCCATCCATCCATCTATATCTACCTCTGTCTACCTATCAACAAACCAACTGAGTCATTAATTATGTAGTGGAGGATTAGCCTTACCCAAAGAGAGATCTAGACTTTGCCCTCTGCCCTCAGCAAGTAATCTCTAAATCTGTATCAGTTCAACCTCTTAGGAGATGAAGAGGACCAAGGTCCGCCAGGCCGTCAATCACAGTGCCGTGACCAGCACTTAGTCCCACTCAAGCCTGAGTGAGCCTTCCTGGTTGGCAATACCTCGCGTGTGATGTCATAGATTGCAGCTGGGAGAAGTTAATCCATGACTCCGTTGGGAGAGGAAAGCGAGACGCTCTGTGCGTGGAACTCTCCTGGCCTCAACCCCATGTGCCTCTCCCTTGGCCGACTTTCATCATGAGTTCAATGGAATCTATGGATCTTCCCAGCAAATTACTGCATTTAAGGGTAGTCTTAGGGGCTTTCAAATTTGCAACCCATGTCAGAAGCACAGTAATCAAATTGTATACATGTAAGTGTGTAAGCGTGTGCGTGTACACCCGCTTTCTGTATTCTCTTTCATGTCAGCTTTGCCATTCTGCTGGTTTCCACACTAAATGAGTTAAAGAAAACACATGTTCACTATCTACTTATAAGAGGATTATGACTGTAACATTTTGAGTCTCGTATTTCATGTGTTAATCATTCATTTATTCAATGAAGAGACATCAAAACATATGCTGAAGCATTGCACTGGCTTAGGGAAGAGGGAGGAAGGGCCCCCATCTGGGTCCCTGCCCAGTTACTCTTGGGACAAACAGACAGGGAGGTCAGGGAGACACTGCTGGGGGAGGCAGACACAGGTTGAGGCAATGATGAGGGGTAGGTGGGTCTCAGAGGGTTGTAGGGGTGAAAGCAGGACCTGGATGCTCCCCTAACAGCAAGGGAAAGTTCTAGGGATGAGGCAAGATGGCAGCACATCTTGGTGGATCCCAAGGTTACTCCTTTAATTCTTGGTCACTGACAAGAGTTTGGTGTGTTACTTATCATTGCAGTTAGGTGCTGTCGAGATGAGTATAACTCACAGCGACCCTATGAACAAAAGATCTGAACTCTGTTCTATCCTGCACCATCCTCACACTTCCTGACACACGAGACCACTGCAGCGGTCACATGTCAATCCATCTAGTTGAGGGTCTTCCTCTGCTTCACCGACCCTCCACCCTTCCCAGCATCATGTCCTTCTCTAAGGAACAGCCCCTCCTAGCAACATGTCCTAAGTATGTGAGGCAAAGCCTCATCATTCCTGTCTCCAAAGGGCATAGCAGCTGCACCCTCTCCAAGACACATCAGTTCGTTCTCCTGGCCGTTCATGGGATGATCAGTGCTCTTCTCCAACACCACAGCTAAAAGACGTCAATTATTTTTTTCTTTCATCCTTATTCATTGTCCAGCTTTCAAATGCATAGCAAGTAATTGGAAAGACCATGGCCTGAATCAGACACACCTTAGTCCCCAAACTGACATCATTACTCCTCAATACTTATATGTAAATCAATCTCTTTGTGGAACATACACAACAGGTTTGCTCTGTTTTGTTCTGGAAGGATCTGCCGCCTCTATGAGGTCATGATACTAATTGGAAGAGCAGAGCCAAATGCTGTGGTGTGGAAGGTCCCAGGGCTCAGTGAGCCTGGGACAAGGAGGAAAGGAGGAAGAGGGGCCGACACAGCCAAGGACACCTGGCCCAGGCGCGGCCGTGTCCTCTGCACCCCGGCACTCACCCTCATCACAGTTGCTCCCAGTGAAGCCAGGGCAGCACCTCCACTCCAGCGCCGTCACCGTGCGGTAGGACACTCTGTATGTGGGTCTGATCAGAGTCCTGTAACTAACACAAAGACGGTATCAGGGCTCGGGAACTCTCTCACTCACCCCCAGAACCGGTGCCACTGTGGTTGCTGTGAGATGGTGTCAAAATAACCACAATGAACAACAACAGATGATCACACATCCCTGTGGTTGCAGTCACTGTGTCAACCGCGGGCCAACATCTGTGTGGTCACTGCCTGTGGCCCTGGGCAAGTCACCACTCCTCTCTGGATCCAGAACATTCTGAAGTCCGTTATTGTTGGGTATGTACTATCAAGTCAGAATTGACTTAGCGCTGACCTTCTAGCGGGTTTTCAGAGGCCATAAGTCACACAGGACGAGACAGCTCATCTTTCTCCAGCTGAGCAGCTGGTGAATTTGAACTGCGTACCTTTGGGTCGGCAGCGCAGTTCCTTACCACTAGGCCACCAGCGTGCCCTTGTATCATTCTGTAAGTGTGGTCACATATGCCGTGTATCGAGTAATGCTTTGTATTCATTGCCATTGACTCAGTCTCAACTCAGTGTGATTCCACAGGTGCAGGAGGGAACTGCTGCCTGGAGTTTCAAAATCCTTGCCTCCAAGGAGCAACCTGGTTCCACACTCTCCAAGACCAACCTCGTCATTCTCTTGGCAGTCCATGGTAGGTTCTATTCTTTTCTCCAGCACCACAACTCAAAGGCTTCAATTCTTGTCATCCTTCATCACTGTCCAGCTCTCAGATGCACAGCAAGTGACTGCAAAGACCACGGCCTGGATCAGGTCTACCTCAAAGTGACCCTTAGAACCTGCCTAACTGCCAGCCACTTTCAGCCTCTTCTTCCAACATACTTCTGTTGCTGGCTGCATTCAGTGACTATTCACTGGCTGCCAACCATGCGCTACGCTGTGGCCCCAGAATGATAAGAGCGCGTCTCCGTCCTCAAGAAAATCACAGAGTGGAAGACGGAGACACTGGAACCAGAAAACCTCAGCACTCTAACAATGGAAACATCTGCAAAGTGGATAACGTGTCACACACACACACACACACACACACACACACACACACACTTTTACAGGCTTGAGTTCTTTCTTGCAAATAAGTGGTGATGGTGTTTTGTGAAACCTCTCTCCAAAAAAGCAACTATAGAATGTACAACCAAATTTCACATGTGTTCCACTTTACACACCTTGTTCTGACTTTCTGCTGCTTGATCAGCTTCCTGACATCACAGCGCTTAAGTCTGCTGACACCCAGCAACTTAATCAGCACACGGAATAATTATGAGTTAATTGGTAGCAGCGGGCACAGCCTCTTGAGACGCACTGTTGACAGGCAAGCGCACGAAGTATTTCTTGAATTTCCAAAAACCTGCTCTCAATCTCAAAAATCCTGTCATATTAATTTCTGGGTTTTTTTAAAAAAAAATAAACAACAATCCTCGCACTCATATTTCAAAAACATTCTTGCAAATCTGTTTCCCCCTGGAGACCCGACAGGGTGAATGAATGGTTGTGTGCACCCGGGGCTGGAACCAAAAGTGATTTGTGACATCGGGAGAGGAGCCAGCAGGCAACCAGAGACGTGCCCACAGCTGAGAGGCTGAGGTCTGGAAGGAAACCCAGGCGCTGGGACTTGAGAATCCAGCCAAGGAAGCAATTAGCTGGCCCCTCGGGAAGGAAGGAGGCTGACAGAGCAGCTGTATCACCAGTCCTTGGAGCAAGCGGCCTGGTGGGCACATGCTGGGTCCGTGGCAATGCTAGTACACTGCCCGCATAATAAGCACACACTTGTGTTGTTACACACACACACACACACACACACACACACACTCATGGCTGTTTAACAGGATGTGAAAACGAGACTTGTTGGCTCCCAGGCAGACATCCTAAAAGCAGAGAATAATACCACAGACGCCCGATGCCCCAATGGGTGGAGCTGCTCAGCCACATGGGAGACGCCCGTGGTCAGTCAATCCTGCCCTGCTATCTTTTTAGCTCATCACCACCTCCAGGTCATATAAAAAACAGCATTCGCTGAGCGCTGAGCTGAACATTGCTAAGTACTGAGTGAGAATTCCTTTGGAGAATAAGCATCAGATCCCTCAAAACTTGGAAGTGAGGAGAATAAGGAAGGATGTTACCCATCTCGAGCTCCAGAGAATCTTGGGGAGAGCACAATACCGTTCCTGAGTTTGAAAAGCTTATGGGCGGAGGGCAGGACTCTGACTCCTGTTTGGAAGGGATAAATCAGGGCCAAGTGGAGGTGGCTGGACTTAACTAGCACTTGGGCAGCACAGGCCATGTCACCCAGATGTGATGTTGCACGCCTTTCCCTAGGGGAGCAGGACTTGGGAGTCTTCACAGGGACTCTGTCCCAGAGGGCCATGGCTGGCCCCCAGGACAAGGAGGACTCTTAAGACACCAGAGGCTGAGGGCAAGACTGTGAGCAGCTAAGACATGTTCCAGGCCTGAGAGATCCCAGAATGCACCCCACCAAAGCATCAGCAATTCACACAAGCCCCTTGCAGGGGCTCCAGGACCAGATTATGACAGTACCAGTGGAATAAGACCCCCTGTGCTCCTTATCTTCCTGAGGGTCCCTTATATTCTTGTTGTTGTACACTGTTGACTCCGAATAGATTGACAGCCATCCCTCCAGCAGGTTTTCAGAGGCAGTAAACTGCATGGCACAAGAGTGCCCCCTTTTCCCACTGAGCAGCTGGTGGATTCGAACCACATGTCTTTGGGATTACAGCGCAGCTTCTTACCACTAAGCCACCAGAGCTCCCTGCCTGTGGTTGATAGTCACTGCCAAATAGGCTCCCACTCATGTTGTCGTGTGCTGTCAAGTCAGAAACAGCCCACAGCTGACCCTCCAGGGGGTTTTCAGATTGCACAGAAGGAGATTACCCATCCTTCTTCTGTGGAGCAGTGGGTGGATTCGAATCACGTGCCTTTGGGATTGCAACACAGGTTCTTATCACAAGGCCACCAGTGCTCACTTGGTGCGCAAAGAGACCTTTAAAACAATAACAACAAAAATGCTACCTGTTCTTTCACCATCATCATGGTCCCTGGTGTATTTTGGTCCATTGTTGTGGACAGGGTGTTAATCCATCTCACTGAGGGTTTCTCTGGTTATTTCACCGGACACGAGGTCCTTCTCCAGCCACTGGTCTTTCCTACTGACTGTCCGCTGCAAGCGGGATAAATGCTCCCCATCCTCCCTTCTAAAGGGCATTTGTTTGCCTTTCTTCTAATACTGACTTCTCAGAAGAAACTCCTCTGGTAGAGCATGGCACTGTTGACATCCTTGGGCCCGACCGCAGCTCAGATACACCAATTCTGCCTTTGTCTTTCTTGTTTATCGTCCACGTCTCTCCTGAGTATGAGGCCTTTGAAAGGCCTGCGTCGCTTACTGTGTCAACTCCTAAGGTTGGTTTTGGTTTGTTATTTTCCCCCACGGTGTAGTGTAAACTCATCCTGAAGGCTATACAATATTTGCTCTTCGTAAGTGATTCAAGTCATATCCATTTTCAGCGAGCCAGGCTCTGTTCAGGCGTCAGCTCCCAGTCCTGACGCTGCATTCTTCATCGTGTCCAGCTTCTCCGATTATCTGTTCAGCGCACAGATCGGATAAATAAGGTGAATGGACACATCCCTGCCTCACACTGTTTCGAACTGTGAACCACTTTCTTTCCTAAACAAACAAAAAACTAACCTCCCCCCCAAAAAAAAACAACCCAAACCAAGTGATTCCAGCCCTCAGTGATTAGGAAGTGATGAATGAATAGCACACAAGAAAGGGGGGTAGGAGGGCTTCCCTCTAGATCTCCTTGCCTGAAATAGGTTCTACTTGGGAGCAAGAAAACTTTTAATTTGATTTTTTTAAGTGGTGGTTTTACAATTGATTCTTGAAATAAAATGCAGTGTAATAAATGAAACGGTATGGAACCCACCGGAGCCAACTTGCAGAGCAGGGAAGAGGCAGCATGCTTTCCCCTGTTTGTTTGTTTGTTTGTTTGTTGTTGTTTTAGAATTTTGCACACTCAACAATTTATTTGTTGCAAATACATTTTTTCTTCTTTTATTATTAATTTTAATGAACATTTACAGAAATTTTGGATTTCCATTCATTCACTGTTGCACTTTTCTCCCTGTCCCTCCGCCCCGTCACTCTTCTCTTTCAAAAGTAAAAGAAAAATTCCTTCATTGCTATACAATCCCCCCGCACCCAGCCCCACTGCCCTGCGTATACTCCACTCTGCAACCTTCATTCTGAACTCTTATGATAATCATAATACCATATAATATATTGCTTTTGAACTGTTCTCTCCCTCATCCATTTCAATGAAGTATACCTAATATAATAATGAGAAAGACTGGATAAATTATGCTTTCCTCTTGAGCCCTGCCCTGCAGCAGCAGAAGCCATAAACCTGTCCCTCCCACAACCTCAGCACAATGGGACAGATGAAGGTCTGGGCTGTGGGGACATAGCCCCAGGCACGTTACTTATTCTCTCCGATTCCACTGATAACCAGGGATGCTGGCCGGAGGCCCACTCAGTAGGGCTGAAGGGGACACTGTGGGGCTGGGCTTGTGATTTCAAAGCTGACCTCATTCCTCCCAGCGTCACACCCTCCAGCCGTTCCCGCTGTCACCAGGAGAATCCGAGCTGCTTAGGCAAGTGCACTGCCCTGCTCCAGCTGGCAAGCCACCCTCTGGCCCTGTCTCAACGGCCCTTGGGTCTGTGTACTCTCCTGACACACCCCACTTTTCTGCTCTGTCCACACCTTTGACGATGGTGGTGATAACTTCATTTAAGCACTCTCAGTGGGCTGAGCACAGTTCTAGTGTTTTTCATATGTTGATTTATAACAACTCTAACAGGTAGCTGTTGTTGTTGTTGTTCCCAATCTACAGAGGAGGAAAACTGAGGCATGGAGATGGTAAATAGCTTCATCAAGGTCACAGAACTAAATACTGGAAGAACTGAGATCTGAACCCAGGTAGAATGGGTTCCAA